TAAAATTCAAAAAGAGTTATACGAATCATCAATCACTCTAATTATAGAGAACATTGCCAACATTTTTGAATAAAATTTAAGATAATGCCATTACACACATTATACATATTAGTTGAAATTCACAAAAAATCATCTGATATACATAACTATAACACACGGAATGCCAATTCAGTTCGAACAGAACGATTCCGTTTAATGAAATCTCAAAAAATAGCCTGGACCTAACCTGGATTATTCGTTATAATCGTCTTCCTTATGAATTTAAAATTTTCAGTCAATATAAGTTTAAAAAACAGTGAAAATTATAATATTATTTTTCATTCCATTAACACCTGTAATAAAAAATCCGTCCACTACATTAGAAAGGCCGTTGAAAAGACCTCCAAGTACCCCAAAATCCTCAGTTAATAAAACGCTAGCACCAAAACAAAATGAATTGACCAAACCAAGAACACGTTCTTTCAAATACATCGAAAACATTTGTATCTTCTATATTATATATTTCTATATTTCACGTTATACAACTAATGCCTAAAGAACAAAAATTATAGACTCGTGTTAGGTGTATTCAACTTTCCTACTATATCTAAAATATCCAAATATAGTTTCAGAATCGAAATCCTTGATTTTGATTCTGAAACAATAGAAACATTAAATTTACAAGATTACTTAGAGTGTAAAAATGTTTTGTGGATGTCAACAGATACTTTAGTGATAACACAACACAACAAAGTTTTTGTTTCGGGGTTGAAATTAGATGATTTTAATGTATTTCCACGTGTTAAAACCGAAAACCATAAAAATTATATATTAGCTCTTGTTTTCAAGATATAGTATCATTATATTATATATATGTATATTGAGTTTTCAACAAATGAAATATTTCATCACCAACAGTTGGTACACATGTTTGTTTACATAACACCCCTCTCATCAGCTGTTCTTAAGTAGTAAACATAACCTATGTGAGTTTGTCAATTGTACGCACGTGGTTGCTATTGAAATTATCGTGTG